ACACCCTTTGATCAGCAGCAACAGCCGTCGGCACATTACACAAAGCTCACATCACTTTCTAATGCTTTTACGCGTAATTATGATAATTTTCGGTGTCAAAACATATTGAGACTACTTAGTTTTTTCTACAATACGCTACTCTGACATTTTGTTAATGCACATGTAAAACGATTATAGATCTATAGTATATATTCAACAGTATTTCACCTAATAAATCAAAATTAAACGCAGAACAACACAGCACTCATTCTAATAACATAATAGTCGGAGAAATATTTGCATAAAGCTAAAAATTAACAAAATTTTAGTAAAAACCGGAAAATTTTATAACAAAATTCATCAATCACTGGCGTTGAGGCTTTAACCGTAGACATCTTTGAACTTTTTGTTTGGCTTTTTGTTCCAACCAAAACGACAGATGTCAGAAATAAGTTTTTCACTAATCTCTATACAAAGATAGGCTATTAGTCGTGGTCTTTTGTGCCTATTTGGTTTCCGACATTATGTCGCTGGTGTGGCGCCATAGGAAGAACGTACAATGTAACTTTGGCTGTTATTTCTAAGCAGCGACCTGTCCATATCTAAACAGGTACAGTGGTTCATTTGGCACTACCATAGACAAAGTACTTAATGTTTTTTTAAGGGAGATCAGACAGATTCCGACCACGGTATAGGGGAGATCCGATAGATCCCGACCATGATATAATTGTGCACCACTTAAGACAAAAAACACATTTATCGTCGTTTTTATAGAGATTGATTGAAAGTAAACTACTGAAACATTTGCTACAACTAATGGGCTAACATTTCACCTCTAAATTACTGTCAGAAAATATTTATTTAAAGAGGCTGAACTTAAAGAAACCGGCGCGGAGCTCATTAAAAATCTTAGTTTCTTGTCATTTTCGTTAACGTCAGCCTTTTTAAATTATTGATTTTTGGTAACTTATTAAAATTTTAGGTGCTTTGTTATCAATATATCTAATGGAATAAATGTTATAGTATCTATTTATGTGGATATAACATCGGTTATTACTTTCTTAAAGCTTAAAATATGGTGGTCCAAAACTGTCTGAAAATTTGTACTGCATAAAGTTATGGCCATAGTGGCCACTTGATAGTTATCGACCACCTCTAGGGTACAGTTCCCGATTACCCCGGGGAATAAAAATAAGAAACATTGTTAAGGCGCCACTGTACTAGACTATCCCGTTTTTTAGGAGATGTGACGCGATGAAGGAGGTGAGGCTCAAAGGAAGCGCGCGGGACCCCGCGCGAATTCGGCTGCGCGCTCTTTATATTTATCTCTAAAATTGACGAGGCGATTGCTTGGAAGTCACTACTTTCACTTTGTTCCAATTTGAACGCGCCCGTTGATTTTGCATGACAGTTAATACTATACATTGTATTAGTTCGAATCAACACCACTGCAACAAACCGCTACCATCAGCGCCAAATTTACAAAAATCAAAGACGCACAAAATAAACCGTCGTATAGCCGGTCTATTTATAAAGGTTCAGTGTTTGACAGCCATTCAATACTTTTCTTTGGTTTCTGATGACTAAAACTACGATATGTACGACATGTTATCGTCATCCTTGTCACTATCTCTGACAAAAAAGAGATGACAATATGTTGCAAACGGAGTTTTTGGTATCAGAAGGCCAAAGTAAATATCAGCTAATATAAGAGTTGATTTTTGTAAAATCGATGTACTAATTTAGACATACTTTTTTGCATAGATTCTTAAAATGATTTAACACTGTAATTTGTGTTAGAGAAAAATAATACGTAAAAAACTTTAAAAACATGGACACAATCTTTTTACAAACACTTTTTACACAATAGTACGAGTAATTTCAATAACGATAACAGTTGCCTGCGAATTCGTTCTCGCGAAATAAGGTGTAGCAGTTTCGGAGCCTATTCAACGCAAACAAGAAAACAATCGAACCTAATGCCATCTAAGCCCACCTACGGCCCCTCAGGCGATACCAGCCGATTCGCGCGAGGCGTACGGTTTGATCGATTTCGGCTCCACACAAGTTCGTCTTTTCCTTTCATTCATCTCCAGTCATTCATCAGGCATCCAATCCAGCGCCCCCTCCACCGTACATCTTCGTTGGTACCAATGATACGCGAACTCACGCAACGTGGCATAGTTCGTCTGTTGCAGACGAGGCCTGGATAATCGGACTCGTATCCCGGCGACCAATCCCATCCATTATTTTCATTCTCAGGTCTACGTACGCTTTGCGAGAATTGGTATTCAGGGACGACCCAGGTGCCTCGAGTCGAACGCCAACGTCCAGAAAAAATCGCAAAAGCTCACGGCCTTATCGCAAATTCTTAGTTTCTGCCAGCTCAACTTCACACCGGTCAGCGAGATATGCGCCTTGTTTC